AAATGGAGTTCTTCAACTCTTTTCCCGAAATTCGAACACTTGAATTTTTGAGCTCTCATATATTTCGGAAGGTCTAGCCTTGGCCGAGTCCACGAAGAAGTGAAACTACCCAGTGGGAAGTCGCTCTGCACAATCGCCGAGTCTGACGGACATCTGAGGGTGCGGACTGACGAACAATTCCCAGCAAAAGGATTCTCCAGGCCACCTAGCATGGTCGTCTTCGCGGCGCTATCGACGCGGCACGTCCTGGCTAACCACTCGCCGCAGGTCTAGCTGTTAGCAGAGAGAGCGTTAGCGTTGAAGAGGGCAGCACCGATGAGAGTCGCATCAATGCGGAAATCAATGGTAACGAAGGGTTCCAGGGTTTTGAGCCGTTTGTCAAGTTTTTCCCTTATCCCGTCTCAACTACCCAACTTTACCTTGATTTTAATGAGTAAGCCCCTGTGCTTCTTACGAGTAGCGCGTGCGAGAAACACGTCCAGGCCAGCGCGGCAGCTGGACTACCGAAATGTCGCCATCAAAAATATTGAAGCACACTTAAAAATTGGCCGCCTTCAACTGCTCGTTCTTGAGGAAAGTGTAGTTTGTGCTTAGGCCTGATTTTAATGCGGTGCGTTACTTTCATATAGCAGTTACTTTGAGTAAGGTGACTGCTTCAACATTCACGTGAAGTTTAGACCAGGAAGCATGGATAGGTGATAAATTTTACAGCCGTTGTTTCCTGAGCTGAACATACACATTTCGTGGAGAATGTGAAAATTGGGTATCTCAATGCAAATAGTATTAAGAAAATGATATGAGAAATTTGCCCTTCGATGGAAAGTGAACACAGAAAGGTAGGAAGCCATTCGAACAGCAAAGCATGCTCACCTTAGCGTCTAAGAGGTTTTGTTGTTCTAATTCTCCAGAAAGTACCTGTAATAGTGTTGGCAAGTACTGAAAAGATTACTCGAATCTGGAAAACATTTCAAAAGGTTGACTGCGACAAGCAGCTTGACTTGCATCAGCTAATTTCCAGATATATGAGGGTTGCTTCAGGCAGCCGTCAAAATATCCCATTCCCTGCTTGAGGAAAAGCCCGATATCAAATTGGTGTATCATTATGAGAATGAAGATGTAAAGTCCGATATCAAATTGGTGTATCATTATGAGAATGGAGATGTAAAGAGCACCACTAACGAGCAAACAGAAATGTCTGTAGTAGAAAAAGATACCTTGACATCCTAGCTGGACCCCATCATTCACTACTCTGTTTTTTTCTAACCTATTTGTTCCCGTAGCAAAGGTCAAGTAAAGTTTTGAGCTAGAAGAATGAGCCTGACGGCAGCTGACGCAAAGACCTGCTAAATCATTACTCGGTGGTGGTCGCCACTTTCGGGCAGCTCCTGCATTCAGTTGCAATTAGCTATGATAAGGCAACAGTAAAAGCTCAAAGCTGGTGATACTCATGACCGTAATCGGTACAGTGGACAGAACGCGGTTAACTGGGATGGTTTCCATACATCAAGAATTGGGGTAATGTCGACAATTGGCTTCGTGGAAATCTGTCAGCACATCTCCAGTATGTGAATGTGGGTGATTGTGTGTCCGCCGGTTATACGAAAACAGCATCTTTCGTTGGCTTCTACGTAAATCCATAAGATGCTTTGTGATAGAATGGACTGCGTTTTGATAAAGGGCTGATAAGCTTCACAAGAATGTGTTTCATCAGATTTTTCACTTTCTCCTGATAGCAGGCGCGTGGCCGCGTGTATAGTTCACTTGGATGATCCCTGATATGCAAACTTGTCATTGAGTATGCTTGTATTTTTTTACCTATCATGGAAATATTCAATAATTGTGTTTAGCGAGAAGAGCAGCCAAAACAGGAAGAACTACGCTCACTTCGTTGGACGTGATGCCACATAAGGTTTTTATGGTGTTACGCTGCATGTAGTCGTTTGCGCCAGATAATTTTTGTGGTTATAGTCTAGAAAATTTTTTGAAGAACTTCTTAATGCCTATTCTTCGACGAATTTACTCACGTTTTTGGGTACTTTCTGCATACAAGGCTCTCTGGATCTCAGTTTTTCACGTGATGATGCGCTGTTAGACCCTTCTTTTGACCCTCTCCTAACGAGCTTCTGAAATAAGGTAACTTAGCACCGCTGATTTGAGGCTTGGCACCGATCAGAACCCACACCAGGCGAATTTCAGGGCCCAGCAGGATCCGCCTTTTTTGAGTAGTTTACGCACGCCCATAAAGGAGCTGGTGTCATAGATATAGTATTACCTAACATACGTCATCACTTCTATCTCCAATTAGATTGAAAAACTGAAACAAGGGGAATGCAACATTTATGACTACGAGACCGCGGAATTCCTTTCTCTGAATCCTGTGAAAATCCCACTCGATTCGGAACAGTTCCTCTCCACATCTCGTAAAACTCGGGAACGCATAGCACGTAGTAGTAGTGCATGGTGCGCACCTGCTGAATCTCCCTTTCGCGCACGTTAAGTGTCTTCTGCATTTGGTGCTACATGCAGCTTCCCCTCCGATACCCTCGTATCAACAGATTGTATTGTTGAGTTTTTTCATATCCTGTCCGATTTTCTGCTTTCCTGTTTATTCTAGTTTTATTTCTCCGGTGAAACAACTTTCCAACAAAGCAATCCCCATCATGCATCAATGATATCATCTTTTTGCTTTTGAACATTTGAATGCTTTCTTCACAGAATAAGTGGAGCCATCGCTGGAACAATTCCTGAAGGTCGTTTTCGATGTGGTATTATACTTGGACTCACTTCTGTCGCAGCTCCCGTTTCGGAGCGCCGTCTATTGGGCATTTTAGATTGTGCCCGCAGTTTTCACCAAGATTTGTTCCTCTGCATCCCATTCCATCCAAATAGTGTTTTTGGGCTATCGACATTGTCCAGAAGTGAGCACGATTTGCTGATCGTGGTTTCCGATTCATGATGCAAGGATTCTCATCAAATGTTCCAGGTGATTGGGACTGGGTTATATAAAGCTCATGTCGTCTTTCCCGATGCGATTGAACTGCTACCTCATCTCGCTGGCCTGCTCTGAAGGGTGTATTCTGGTAAAATTTAGGTGGCGGAACGTTTTAGGTACAATGTTGCATTCTGGTGCAATGCATCTGCTGCAGAAATTCTGTACCATACGTAGCTCTCCAATAGATGACTTATCCTCTTACCTTCGTCTTGAACTTTCTTCTTTCCCTCACACAGTCTTCATCACAAGATTTTTGTGGTGGCGGCCGTACATTGACCTTCTTCGTTACTTTTCGTCGCTCTTTAGCGGACGTATCCGGTGAAGCATAATAAGAGCTGAAAATTCTGGGGATACATATTAATGCTGGAACTTATACTGAGGTGAAAGCGACTGAAGAGGGCATTGCCATCAAAACTTATAATCCCATCAACCAGGATTTTTACCGATTGGTGAAGGTTTGTGATAAAAGTACGTATAAAAGGAAACACACAAATCAAATGGTAGCCGGTAGGGCTAGAGTAAACACATTCGATTTCAGTTGCAGTGTCATGCCAACAATACTCAAAGGCAGTGATTACGATAGATTCAAGAAGGGCTTCTAAAAGACTGGTGGTGCTCAATGGCACGCCAGTGGCAAAAAAGCGGAGAAATTCGTCAAGGAAACGCAAAAGGAACCCTTTTTTTGGCCGTTGGTTTTCCCTCATGAACAGGTAAGCAGCTCAAGACACGCGACGTATGAACGAGCTTCGCAATAAGCGTTGCGCTAAACTCATGCCAAATCGCCCTGCCTCCCAATCGAATTTTTTTAGTTGTGCCCGCTGCGGCAACTGCAGCTTGTACAAATCACCAAGTAAAACTGTGGCCAGAGCGCTTACCGAAGTTTTGCCTCCGAAGCACTACCAGCCGCACCTTTCGTGTGAGCATCCAAGTGCATTGCCATCGTGTGTGGTGCATATACACTTCTCCGATGCGATCTCTCTCTATCGTAATCGCTGCCCCTTAATAATCCGATGTTGAATGTTGAAACACACAAATTAAATAGTGGCTTGTAGGTTTAGGTCCAACGAATAGCTGCGGCGGGACGATTTTGAAGGATGCCGACTTCTGCTGTCATTGTCAACAACTTTTTACATAACTGTTTGTATTCCGAAGATGTTACCGCCGAATAGCGTCACTCAAAGTTTATAGTTACAAAAAAAGTATATGTACGTCATATTGACTTCGGTAAGAATCAGTTCAAAATAAAGTCTAATCCACTGAGAATTCCACTACAAGAGACGACCAAAACCTCACGCAGCAGATCGCACCCCCGCAGTCAAGCTCGCTGCGATGCCCACTGTAGTCCAAGTCCCTCAAAGAGACCGCCACTGTGACGATCGCATGATGAAATCCCGGACTCAATATCGCCCGCGACGGCACAGATTGCGGACATGAGACTACCCTTACGTGAAAGCGAAGATGTGCCCATTCACCGACGTCCTTGAACGCTTCGAGCGCAGTCCATCGCATTTAATTAGGTTCTAAACAACGAGACCAACTTAACGATCCAGCCCGAGACATTCGCCACCCCATGCATGGCCCACCGACTATGTCTCTCTCTGGCTGACAGCTCCGCAGCCGTCATATTTCATATCCAATCGCATGCCAAAACCATGGCTGCGAACCCTCGGCACGGCTCCCCCTGCCCAAAGGTGCTGATGCTAACTGTCACTTTTGAATGAGTTATGATGATTTCTTTTACCACAGCACTGATTTTGATGCCATCGAGTGCCAAATTATGACTCTTATATTATCTCGTGAAAACAGTGGCTCGCGGATGGTTCAGTCACCTGACTGCTCATTTGTTCGCTTGACACGCCTCTTCGTGGTGGCCGCCAAGAACTTGCATCGACAAACGGGCGAACCAGCAATCCATGCAAACAGCCGACTGCTCCTACAACAGCAACCCGAGCCCAACAGCCCTCAATAAAACTTGATTGATGCGTACTTATCACGCGAAACACATGCTCGTCCCTTGGAAATAAGCTGCCTCCCGACTTGACTACATAACACGAAGCGTTCCTCGGAAACCCTCAGCGCGCGTCGTTTATGCTGTGGTAAATATTATCGAGTTAGTACGAGGCTTTCAAGACTGACTGCTGAACCGATCGGTGTTCTGGGAATGATCCTGCTTTACTGAAGCCTATCATCTGATGCACGTAACAGTGCAAAGAGCTGTGGTATGTTATTATTTTTCGAAGCCTACTTCTTTGCACAGTAGCAAATGGATTACGATGGGAATGAGTCATTGAAAAAGGGGCGATTTTCAAAGTCATGACTCTCTTTACCATATGATCTGTGTGCATTTTTGTAACAAAATCGTCTCTTTTTCGTTTAAGATGTTCTGATTCATAGTGGGGGTCATTATAAGAAGGAATTTGTCGTTGATAGCACAAAATATGAAAGTTATAGTGACATGACTTTGAAGGTGTACCCGAAGTACTCTCGCACGTGTGCGGCTTCCTCCGAGGACAAACGAAGTTCCTGGTCTATTGCTCAAAATATAATGGAAAGGATATATGTCCATTTTCTCGACACTAAAATCCGTTCGTGGTCAAAACAATAGGTGTCTATGAAACATGGCAAATGAAAAGTGAAATACGGCATCAACTCAACGAATAAGCACGAACCTCGGTGCAGTTGTGCTTTCTTTTGAGATGTTATATTTGGGATGGAGATATACACTGTCCGCTGCGGTCTCGGCCTATAATTAGTATCGAAAGTATGTACATTGAAAGATTATGACTGATTGAATGATTCATAGAGCAAAGCAGTGATGAATAATTTGGCGCTTCAAGAGGCACCATTTGTAGGAGTGCGAGTGTGAGGCAACCGCTAACTTGGTATGTCGGTATGTATGTATGTATGTATATATGTACGTCAATATCCGAAGGTTTGGATAGGCGTGTCACCGGGGTCTCAAGACTTCTGTCAACCGTGAGGCTTGGCGGTTCAGCGTTTTGTAGTGATGTCTGGGAGCTCTCACAAGTGCACACTATCACAGCATCTCCTCTTTCTTTATCTTCTTCAAAAGGCTTAGTCCCAATAAGACACAAAGTGTGTGCTTTTCCAGCTACGCTCTCACCCTTTGGTTGACAGAAGCCTTGTAACCGTGTCACCGGAGGTAACGTGCACTTGATAGAAGTTGCGTGGGTAAGCCTCTCTCTTGCCCAACGATTCGAGAAGATCGTCGAGGTGTTGGAGTAAAGCAACAATTTTTTATTCCTTATGTGTTCCGGGATGTATATCTCCGGCTGAGCTTCCTTCGCTGCAATTGTTGCTGTTGTGCCCAATCAATAATTTGGATTGTATACATCTCTAAGTTCCTTTAGCTAGTATAGGCAAAGCCAAATACGCCGGCTGTCACAGCTTCTGTCAATAGGGGAAATCCAGCAAACGTAGAGGCAGGCATTGGTCAAGATGTGTGCGAGCTCCCGCTGGAATTGGTGGTCGGGGTGACTTCGATAGATGAAGCGAAATTTCCGTCAAGGATCACAGGATACTGCCTGGGAAGAGAGGCCGTGATTTACGTATCCGCCCTGAGATAGAGCGCGTGGTGATGCGCGGAGAAAGAGTGAGTATCCGATGGCCGGTACTGAATTAGTGGAGACTATAATTATTGTCGCAGTGTAGGTTCTATTAAAAGTGTCGTCATGTTCGGGTGGCGAGCCTATCTGCCAGACTCTCCGATATTCGTATATGTATGTCCGTGCTCCAAGACGAAGTGATCAGCTGAGAGCCTTAAGTAAGGTAGTAAGTGCGTTAGGATAGAGTTCTAACAGATTGATCGGTAGTTCCGGTAGGACCCGAGCTTAGTCAGCTCCGTAATAGGATAGATTGTAATGTATGGTGGCGATCTACGAAACGCCATTTTTGCATACGCGTCACCTCCATGAGGTGTTGGTGTCACAAGTAGAAGGGATCACAACGGAAGATCTAAAGCTTGCGCACGGAAGGGTGGCCCATGCGGTCGACGGGGACCAATCTGGTTTGATAAAATTTCAAATTGGATCAAATGGATGTCAAATAAGTTGAAGTTCAGTATTGGCTCTCCGCAGACCTGTGAATGATAAAAGTGGTGTTGGAATAGTTATCGGGGCTCCAAATTATTGAGGTGCTGATTCTTCCCTCCAAGACAATCAGCACCTCAGAGCGAAAATCAGTGACAACCTATTCAAACCACGCTGACTCATTAGAGGTCGACCGCACTGTGTGAAGTAGAGCCGATTACTGACGATGCTTGCTATAAATGAGGCTATTCTCGCAACCGCTACCACTTGAGCGTAGACCGGTATAAATCTTCCCTTATATAAACCTTGCTTGATAAGCTGTTTGTTGGTGTCTAAATTTGTTGATCGTTGGGTGTGTGTTGATGTGACTACCCGCCTATAGAATGAAACGGAAAGTCGCGTTCATCGTTCACGATTTGGGAGATTACGATAGATTAGTGAGATTACGAAGTCCGATGAGTGACCGCAACCGTAACCCGTGACTGGTTGGCGCGCGATGCCACGTGTCATCGATTTGAATTCGACGTGCCCTTTTGTCGTTTTTCCGCGCACTCCACGGCGACAAAATGGTATAGAACCTGTCAATTGTACGGAGCGTCTGTGCTGTATACATGTGGAGTATGGCAGGTAGTCGAACGTGCCGCAAGGGGCTTGGCGGCACCCTATGGTTTACCTTGCCTCGGCTCAGTCGCTCGCTCGCCGGCAGCGGCAGGCAGCGCTGCGTGTATTCTTGGATAGTCGCCCAAGGGCGGCTGTGGTGGTGGGGGTATTGTGCACTCGCCAGCGAGGCATTATACCCTCTCACGTTGGTGCTGAAACGTGTGGGTACACAGCAGTAGTGTAGCTGCGCGCTCCAGTGCCAACGTGGATTACGGTAGCGGTCACTCATCGGACTGTTGAAACCGGCTTGTTTACGATAGTAGGCGACAACGAAGCAAGTCATTCATTGATAAGGGCCGCGAGATCAGTAGATAAGAGAGAGGGTAGTAGGATAAGATTAGGTACTCGACTCAAATTGCTCCAAGTAATACATTTCGTGGTTAGTATAGTAGGACGGTAGGAGATTCGAAGAGTAGTGTAGTAGTAAGTCAGGACTACGCTGAATCGTTACGTGTTAGTTACGTATTTGTCGATTCGATTGAATCTGCCAAACCTCCTACTCCATGTTTTGATCAATAAGATTTTTTCTTTCCATGGACGGCTATAATCCTAATGATCTACTGTCGAATTTCATTAACTGTAAACGCGGCCAAAGCAGCTAGTGCAATAAACAAACCGTTGAGAGAATTGAAGGCTCGCAAGTCCTGCAGTACCAGTTTATGATTGCAGTTACTGCATTGATAGCATAATTGTGATAACACTCCAACTATCAGGTGAGCATGCATTGTCTCAGGCACTGGCTCTGCTGTGACACCTAGAAGGGAGACATGGGAGATTGAGGGTGAAAGGAAGAAGGAAGGAGGGAGGGATCCAGCTGCTATTACAGTCGAAGTCAAATTCTGCTGAAAAATCTTTCCAACGTGATGCTGTGAATGCGATAAGTCGTGACAACTGCGATATAAACACCCTTGAGCATAGTTCCGAACATTCCTCATGGCGTTGTTGTTGCAACAGGACCAGAGCGAAAGGAGAATCATGGGTGAGGGGGGGGTAGGGAGTAACAAACTGAGCTTCAAACCAGTGCTGGAGTTTTATTCCAACATTTGCTTGATTGTTACAAGATCCCTTATGTACAAGACACATGCATAATATGCCCTCCACAAGGTGTTTACTCCACAATGTGGAAGGTGTGAAACATACGCAAGGAATGTGAGGGTCCGGCGGATGTGCTGCCTCTCCAATCAAGGCTGGATACATTATCATACGTGATATATTTGAATACTGAATGTTGATTGAAATGACGCATCCAGTTTTTCAAAGAATGATTTCATACCCAGAATTCGGCTTGTCAATTGCATGTTTGGCCTGAAGAGAATGAATAAGAGGGAAGTTGTTGTTTACTCCACCTACCTTAACCGTATCAAACCTGGATTTTTTGTGCAGAAGATATCCTTGTAATTGTTTACTACTTGTGGCACATAGATAACGCTGCTGCAAAATTTGGAAGCTATTCCGATCACAAACAAAGAAACTAGGAAGCTTTGAAAATTGACACAGCTTTTTAGTTTTCTAGCTTATTCCGAGAAATTCCAATTTCTTAGTTATATTGAAAAGTTTATGATCTTGCACAGCATTATATGTAACCTTTTTGAGGCCAAAATGAACATATGTCAAGTAATTTAGAAATATAGTACGACAGTTACACTACTAGTGGCTTGCTGAGCACCAAGCGCCGACTCATGTTGCGCTTCTACACAAATAAAATAAATAGCTATCCTAACAGTCAACAGACAGGCCTTTCAAAGACATAATTTAGCGATGATAGTCGTTAAGTATAGTTTTATCAGTGGTAAAATATGGCGGTGCCACAACCTTTGAATTTGATGGTAGCAATTGCCACCGCCAGGTCCATAAGGGTTATCCGGTTTCGACAATCAGCCATGGGAAGCTTCTCTTCATATTTGAGCAATTACGGGTAATTAAATAGTGGTAAACTGGATCCATTTCCATCTTACTATCAAAATTTAATGGCACCCGAAAACGGTAAATGTTTACGAACAATTCGTCATCAGAGCTAAACGGGGGTTAAATGATTTATGCAAACCACTTTATGCTCGCCCTACCATGACACGGAAAGCCTTTGATAAACTGACAATCGGTGAAGCTTTGGGTTTCACCGCTTAACTATAGCTGCTTCGTTAAATGCATTACTGTCCGTTGCCCATCTTGGCTGTATCTCACTGTTTGATAAGCGCAGTGAAGTGCACAGCTAAAGTGATGTATGTAAACAACCACCATGCATCGAGTATCGAGGAAATTTAGCGGTCGAATAATTTTTGGTAATCTCAAAACGGAATGCCCAGTATTCACTATCAAATTTATTAGAGCATCCCATTCATCCTCAAGAACTCTAGAAGGTGTAGCGGTCGAAAGGTGTTTGAGTTTACAATTATAACGCTAATGAAATGATATTGAAATGAAAGGCATATCTACAATCTGGTTTCGAGTGATCTCTCTACGCATATCGCATACTATTACAGCTCACCCATAGTCGTTATCACTTTGTGACCCCACCAAATATGTCCCGTCCCACCTCCCTATATCATTCCAAAATCAGCTCCTGACGACTGCTGCGAAGCGCACTATAAATTTCGTGAAAATTTGTGTTTCAGCGCCTCTTATCTACTCTTATCAGTCGTTATCACTTGGAGACTCCACCAATAATGTCCCCGTCCCACCCCCTATATCATATCAAAAAAAATTGACTCCTAACGCACTGGGCCCTAGCGCACATGGATGCGACACACGCACACACACACACAAACAAAACAGACCAGATGTAGCATATAAATACCAGATTAGTCCCCCGTCAACCGCCGGGACCTTCCTTTCCTGCGCAAGCTTTCTATCCTCCGCTATGGTCCCTTCCTCCTGTGACACCAACACCTCGTGGAAGTGACGCGTATGCAACACAATGGTGTTTCAAACAGTAGAAGGGACACAATCATGATATGACGGTAGATTTTTCGCTTCCGCCTCCCTTCCTCTCTCCACTGCCCTCCAGCTGCCACTGCAGCACCATGTGGAATGAACGGAAGTGTGCTAAGCAGGTGTTTATATAGCCCTAAGAGTGTTATCACAACTATCCTGCTACAAAACATTGATATCTCAAATCCTGTAAGCTACCCGATTTGTTAGCGGTTTGTTTATCCCATGAGCTTCCTTCTCACTCACTTCATTTTGCGGACGGACACACATACATACATACATACATACACACACATACACATACATACATACACACACACACAGACAATGCCGTTTTAATAGTAGGGATAATCGGATGGTGAAACATGTGTTCATGGAGTGGGAATACTCCATTGCATTCCACAGTACTAAAGACAAAGGTAAGAGTCTCATGACACGTGATCAATTCATTTGAAATACGCTCCAAGTATTGCATGTAGGTGTTGAGTCACGCCTTAGTCTGCTCCACACTATCAATCGCATTGACTTAGGAAATGCTCTTAACATCCTTTTTAGGTCAAGGGTTCAAGGGGAACCAGGGTGAATGATCAAGTGCCAAGATTTGGTTAGGGTGTGAGCGGGTGTGTGGGATGTAGGACACGTGCCGTTTCTCATCAGAAGTCCACTCAAAAAGAGTCGTTTACCTATTATCTTTTCCTCATTGTAGATAGCCTAAAGTAGTGCTATGCTACCATGGGTAAGATAGCAGGGAGTGCCTCCCCAATCAGACCGTTATATGAACACCTTCTGAGCATGTTCTCTCGGAGCTGCGAGTGGCTTGTGCTGGTTTTTTGCCCACTATCTCATTCACGATAAGTCGAAATAATGCAGATGTCAACAACAACACAGTATAGCATCGTTTTCTATTTATAGCCGCAATACAAATATAAATTAATCAAGACTCGCTACTCAGAAGAATGCTAGGAAAAAGCTAATCTGATGTTGAAAGAAACTACTTCATTCTTCATATATAAATTCATGGTTGACTAGGTCACAACTTCAACGGAAATGGATTAATATTGGGGTAGAAGTGGCGAGTGCAAATCGGTGAACGTAAAATTCCAGCGTTATCTGAAAACGACTGATTAATGATCTAGCTGTTAGCCAAGGGGTTTGGCTGTAGATTTTCAAACATTACCTTGTCATTCTCAACATTTATGATTCGTTTACTTCAGTAGCAGGGCGAACGTGGGCTGAGGAATGCGGAGGACTGTTACTAATGACATTATGAGGAATGGCATCCTGAAACTCTGGAGTGCAACGGATGACTATTTCAATTTCCCTCCCTGTTATATATTTGTGTCTCTTGAATGCACAGTATTATCATAGCGAATTGAGAAAGGGGGAAGGAAAATCCCCTTTTTGAAGAAGCAAATCTTGGAATCTGGAGGTGAAGCCGCGCTCGTGACTCGAAACCGCGCGGCTGTAACAACTGTGGCCTAGCATTTAGGACGACGTGATCTATGATCGCCCACCGCCGGAAACGGTGCGTGTGGCATAAGGGGTGAAGTGATTGATGATCAGCTGGGTTGATTGCCGGTGATCAGCTGGGTTGCTTGCCGTATCGGCTGATTCCAGGAAGCCAGCAATGTTGCAATCCGAAGATCTGCGTTCGAACTGCATCCTCCTAAGACCAACCTCGCAGCTTTGGAGAGAGTCTTTTGCCATATTACGGTCGTCGGTTCGTTTTTTCCCGTCTTCCCCTCACGGCGTTCCATTCGTTATTCTTGCATCGCATTCAGCACAAAAATGCTGCAACTCATGCTCGATCCGCCTATGCTTTACTTCGGGTCACACTTCACCGAGCGCAGTTTAGCTGAGGTATTCATGAATAACCGGCAAAAAGGAGACCCGTAAGAATTGACGTTTAAAATTTTATAGTAATTTGATTTCCACGAGAATTGTAAAACGCTCGCAGATGGGCTTAAAATCAACTACGTAAATTAAACAACTTCATTTCAACATTACATGAACTGTACAAGTGCCGCATCTACCAAGCTATTAGTTTGAGAAACCTCTTTGGCTTCTCAAATTGCCTGCTACTTTTAAAGCTTTCTCCCACGTGGTCTCAGTTCATGTTCGATGCTTTGCATCCTGTCTCTGTGTAGTGCCACGTCACACTAGAACTCAGTCGTTTGCTCAAGTTCATGCACGATGATTCAATATATAAATATGAAAAGTTGCACGCAGCAAGGCGCGACGCGCAAAAACTGTGCCATCCCTCTTGGCTATTCTTAACTAGCTCCCAGCGCTTATTTAGCATTTTAACATCGTAACAAGAATGCGTACGTGTGATGCCTGCTCAGTCAATTAGGTGACATGTCATTCGACACGACATTTTTCTGTAATGTACATTTCTTATTTTTGTCGCTATAGGAGTAGAAACTCACAAATGGGAATGAAGAAATTGTTAATCCTAATAGTTTAGGGTACGCACGCAGTTTATTCCGGAAATGAGGAGCAGCTTTGAAAACGGAAAAATCGGAAAAATCAGTAACTATATTTACTTATTGTTAGGATAGCAGCATCTTCAAATGAGGCACCGACGGCGAGTTTGGAAGGAGCTGGAGGAGAGCTTGGTTTAGCCCCAACACTTTAATCTGTTGCTAGTCAGAAAATTTTCCAACGGAAACATGGTGCAAGGTTCCGGCTCAACGAGAGACAGTATCTGGGAGAAAGACAACACATGGGCTTATCGGATTGTAAAATGTTTTCGTTGGATACCACATAACCTGGAGGCCAAAACGAGCTGCACCGATATATAAGTGAAATATTCAACTAGCAATGGAAACGATACACAGGACTGGAATGGATGGATACATTTGAATTAGGCAAACTTGCGAGAGCATGTTGGATCCAGGCAACAGGTTAATATCACTTATAATATTTAGTTACGCTACACGCAGCGCATCAAAAACTGTCATAATGCGGACATGGGAAAAGATTTGAAAAGGGTGCACGCAATTACACAAGGAAACTAAGGAGGCTCACTTACTTCCGCAGGTCTTGGATCCGCTGTGTCGTCTCCAGCATGGCGGCGTTCATCAGTTTCGGTTGATCCTTTGCAACATGATGGCGCCTGTCCATCAGATTCACGAGACATTTTCTGAAAACCGTTAACCTGTGACTTATGCAGTAATTCAACAATGGCTGGTATTACTAATGTTGTAGGATGCAGGCGAGCTATTT